AAAAGACCCATATTTCGTTGTCCTACGTTAAATTCTTTATCCAAATTGTAATAATAAACGTTTTCCAGCCTGTAAATTTAAGTACTACATATGTTCCATTATTAACAAATCTACGATCCCTCCACGATCTCCTTGGTAGCCCCTGTATAATACTCGATACTCGAACAAGTTTAACAACTTATTTTTGCGTTGTCGAATGCACCAGGAAAAACACCAAACAGTCGCCAAATATTGCATAGAAACAAAGTGTCGAGTATTGTATAATATAATATCATAGTAGTATGTATTATATCCTACGACCTAGTAACCGTACCGGACACAACTATTCCTAGTTAGTTAGATAGCACGTGGTGCTCACGTGTACTCTTGCACGGCGGCGGCACACACATATCCCCCACCTAACGTCCGTTCCGACTGAACGGTGACTACTCTAACGTGCACGAAGGACGTTTGCCGGCACACGGTTCGACCGAAGTTTGCTACAGCTGTGAAACAGGGTTAACCAACGTATAATAGAACGATCTAGTTTTATTGAAATTTTAGGTGAAATTGGTAATAAAATATTTTTTATCAAGTTATCATACTTGTTATGAAAGATTGAATTTAGGGAGCGTCCATTAATCACGTGAATCGTTTAATTATTTTTGGACTACCCTCCCCTTCGTAATACATTGGGCTAATTTATGGCAGATCACTCCTTAGTCTTTGTAGTAAAAGAGGACAAGTCTTGATATTAAATGTAGCATTGCGCTTCGAGGAGAATTAGAGAGCTTCCTGATTTATAAAACAATAATTAATATCCCAAAAAAATAAAGTTTTGAAAGTTTAATTTTGTTGGACGCTTTCTTGAAGGTATCTTTATATGAATCTTGAAGTTTTGGTGATCATGGTATTAAACAATAAATTTATTGTTATTGGGATATTTTGTGATTTTTTTTGTCAAACTGGATTTCCTGGAAATACATTATTAAATTAAAATGGGCTCGTCGTAGGTAAGTGGCTAGAACGACTGGATCTGGATCAGGGGTCCCGGCTTCGAATCCGCTTCGAGGAGCCTGTTGTATATTAAAAATATATTAAAAAAAAATTAAAATAAGTTCATAATTTTAAAAATACAAATAAAATCAGATGGAGATATAGGCATTTTACTGACTCGGTCTCCATACTGGTTTGGCTTTACGCAAAACTTTAAATGCGTTTTTTTCAGAACAGAATTTCAGTACTGTTGACACGATTCTCGGGTTTTAATCGACCGATTCACTTGAGATGTTCAGGGAGTCTTGTTTATAGACCTATCTATAGCCCGAATTAGGATTATCCCCAAATTCTTACTGTTTTTAAAAAATTCGAGAAACTCAAAAAAAAAACAGTAAGAAAACACTTTTTTTAAATAGTCGCCAATTTGTAAAAAAAAATTCTTTTTACTCATCGCTAGTTCGGGTGATTGCGACATCATTGTAGATTAATAATCTTTTGATTTTTTGCATTTCCGATGGCTAGGAGGGCTGAAATCATATCAAGACTGAGGTGCCAATTTTTTGTCACCACTAACTTCTTCAGCTGCCAGTTTTTACAATTTTCAACTTTTTTATTTTTTAAATTTTGTTTTGTATTTTAATAATATTATTAAACAAGTGGTAAAAAATGGATAGTAAAAACATTCATTGCTTTCTTTTACGACACTTTAAAAATGACCTAAACTTCATCGCTCTACATTAGAATACCCCCTTAAGAGGTTTGATATTATCTTCATTTAGATTCCATCATTCAAATGAATAAGTCCTGTACTTCCATAAGAGTTAGCATACTTTTACTTTCTTAAAAAATTTAACGCCTTTTCAGAAAAAGAACAGTATCAAAGCCAAAGAAAATATTTCATAACTAAGATATTTAGCTACAGTCGAAAAGAGCTATATTAATAAAATGTGACAAGTAAATACTGAAAAATCCTAGACTTATAGACGGGATAGTACTATTGCACTGCATAACACGTTCATCACCATGTCAAGAAAAAAGATTTTAATATAGGGCCATATGCATGTGTGGCATAAAAATAGTTTTTTTTAAGTTTTCTTGACACATTTTTAACTGAATTAAAGTTACCACTGCCCATGTGAAAATTATTCTGATATAATCATGGCGACTAACAGTCAAAGTAATTGCTAAAGTCAAAATTCATATATTCACAGCTGTTTTCGTAATTTTCATGTTGAACCAACACGTACGCCTAAAAAAATATTTTTGAGTGGAATATATAATGTTTCCGAACTTTTCGATGTTTCATTTATTTCAAAAACCATTTTCATTATTTTATTAATATTTTATTAATGCGACACTTTGGTAGACCGATAACTCCAGTGGTCCGACACCCTTGCAACCAAAATTTTTTTTTTTTGAATTTTTGCAAATTTTAACGTTATTTCCAATATCTTATGTAAAAAATTATGACTTTCACTATAATCCAGTAATCCGACATCGGTTCAGATATTTTTCATCTGATATCTCTGCTTTGCTTACTCCTATAGTTGACGAATATACTCGTCATGATTTCGATTCAGACGACACAAAACTATGCGCACCAACCCCAGCACAGTTAACCGGTAAATTAAAATCACACATTCATAATTTTCATTCCTATGTTTAATATAATGAACATGCTTAAATCGTTAGACACATAATCCGGTAAATCCATTAATCATATTATACCATCAACGTTATTTTCAAACACTTGCTTCTCCGATACCAAGCCACAACTATGACAATGACATACACTTCGTATTTGATATTTATTCATAATATTACAAATATTGCTGCATTTTATTGCAGTGTGACAACACTTTTGTACATGTCGTCGGTTGGTTACAAAATGAAGTTTTGTTATCTATAGTTTCCTTATCTCCCTCATCAGTCACAATATTGTGTAGTGTAGTGCCAGTCGACATCATGTTAGGTGTCGCCTTGAAAAATTCACATATTAAACAATATGTCGTTAATGAACGTGGTGAGTGAAGAATAAACTATTATTTCAATTGGTAAACAAAATGATGTAGATTTTTTTGTTATTAATTATTTAACTTTTAGCGTGCCAGCAGAAACTGCTGATTTATACGCTCTAATTTTGTTTGAACTACTAGTCTTGTATATGGAAAGAAAATTCAGTTCGGTCTAATTGGACGTAATTAATACCACGTGTATTATGGCTATGAAGTCTTACGCAAAGTTGAGGCTAACATGCCACATGCAATTTGATGTATAATTTATTTTATCATGCTTTTCCACCATGAGGGTCAAAATTTAATTTTTGCTGGCAAAAAATTAAAGAAACCGTATTAGTTTTTTTTATTTTAAAGATTTATTTATTTCATTTATATTATAGTTTATACATACATATTTCTATACAATTTTATATAATCATGTATAAATATTCTATGATATAAATACATAAACCTATATTTAATACTAATAAAAAAGTAAATTCACTTATAAATAAATTTTTAATAATGGTAAAAATAATCACTAAAAACCATATTTACAATAATAATAACAAAATAATACATATTACATATATGATTGGAAAATAGTCAAAAGACTAATAACATATGCTGTAGGAATAGTTTAAGAGTAATTTGATCTCTACCATATTTTATACTTGATTATAAAAGAAACCGTATTAGTATTTATTTTCTTATTTCTCAGGATAATATGTAAACAGTTGTTCTTTATTATACTCGTACAATTGATTTTGTTAAACTATTTGGTTTGTAGGGTTGTGTTTTCAGTGGGTCATTTTTTATATAATTTTTTCATTTTACCATATAACTGTCTTAAGTCGACATCTAAAAGATTTAAAAATAATATAGTTAAATTACATATGACCAGTAGATGACAATAGTAGAAACAGCCAGTGTCACTTCTGCTCCAAAAACAAGTTTTTTATAATTACTCATAAATAATTTTTAAAACCTGATAATAATATAGAAATACCTCGAATATCCAAACATGACAATTTAAAAGAAATCAGTTTTAGATTAGGCCGACACTTGCAATAACTATAGATTTGCCACAAGACAATTTATATGTGGCATGCGTTGCAGTGGGTAAACCATCCATGTAATTTGTGTTAGCTGACCCTTTTACTTATATATCACATACCTTTAGCATTCACAATCAGTTAGTAATGACTTAACCAAAAATTTTTTTGGAAATAATTTTATGGCTAAATAAGGTTTAATATTTCAATAATTTTGATATTGAAATATGTGATATTTAATCTTCAGGGCAATACATCAATTAAAAAATTATTATCTAGAGATAATTAGGAGTAACCAAAATTTTTTTGGAAATAATTTTATGGCTAAATAACGTTTAATATTTCAATATTTTTGATATTGAAATATATGAGATTTAAATCTTCAGGGCAATACATCAATTAAAAAATTATTATCTAATCTGTATTCCAGTTTACATATAAGTTTTTACACTATATTACTTCTTTATAAATTAGTTATAATTATTTTTTTCATTGTCACATAGTTTAGTTATTTTATATTTTTCTTTCTTTCAAATTGTAGTCCACTGAAGATGACATAAAATAATATATCCTTACATTTGAATAATGAAAAAAGAAATATAAATTTTTACAATTTTTTAATTGATGTATTGCCCTGAAGAGTAAATCTCAAATATTCTCAATTTATATATATATATATTATATATATATATATATATATATAATCTATTTTACTATTATAGTTGAAATATTCTTTCTTTGCTGACTTATGTAATAGCACACCTGTGACCTTGTGTCTCCAATTTTAATACATATTTATTGCTGATACAATAACTGGAAACATATGTCACCGCGAAATTATATGCTACGAATCATATATTCTAATTTTTTTAACAAACTGTGAAATAAATAAAGAAAACACTGCAATAAAAATTTGCCAGGGCTGTAGAACCTAATGGAAATTCTATCAAAAGATTAACTTCTTACTTAATCTATTTTTATTAATTAACGAGCACTATTGTTCATTTATTTATGTTATGTAGTGTGTATAAAAATATTTAAATTTTAACAAAATTTTAATTTTCATAGTAACTTGAAATTTCTTGAAACATGTCAACGTAAAATTATATGCTACGAATTTATATATTATAATTTTTTTAACAAAAGTAAAATAAGTGAATAAAACAAAACAATAAAAATATGCAGAGCTGTACAACCTAATGAAAAATCACCTTGGTGGTAATATTCAAAATTACCCCACCAGACATCACGTGTATTTTTAGTTACTAGAAAAAATTGTAAAATTTTTCCTTTTTTTTTTGAAAATGTTAGGATTTTTTTTTAAAAAAAATTCAGGTAAAAAATCCCCCCTAAAAACCTCACATGTATTATGGACGCCCTCTTAACTTCTCAATGTTAACGATTACTATTATCTATTTATACTTTCTAGTATGTGTATAAAAATATTTAAATTTTAACGATTTTTAATTATATTAAAACTGTGAAATAAATCAGAAAAACACTACAATACAAAATATTTCAAGGCTATGCAACCTAATTTAATAGAATAACATTAAAAATAAATTTATATTAGAAAGTACATATTTCTAATTTAAAAAGTAAAATACCCAGCAAAATGCAAACACCATAATAACTATTAGTACAGAAGGTTTAATTTTATTTAATAATAAATCCTGATGTATTTCTGTGATTTAGCGGTATATTCATATGACATTATATTTAATTTGTGGAGAAAGTTTATTATGAGTAGTTAATTAAAACTGTACTTCGTGAACGTTTCATTTATTATTTGAAGATTTATCAAAAGATTGTTGATTTTTTAATTATTTTGTTTTTACCATTCAATGAGCAGCATTATTTATTTTATTACATAGCCCACAGAAGGACTTAAAAATTCAGTTATAATAACGTATAATATAAAATTATTAAATTAAATTTAATTTTAAATCTAATCTAAAATGTATATGACTGATGTACGTGTACAAAATCCACAAATAAATGAAAACATAAACTTCTCCTTCGGGAAGTTAATAAAAAAATAATTAAATAATTAAAAAATATAATGAATGTAACACATACGTGAAATATTACAAATCTTAATTTGTGCAGATGGTAATTAGTAGTTTTAGAGATATATTATAAATATTGGTATCTTTATTGAGTTAAAGTTAGAGTACTTTAGTACTATAGGTAAACAACATTGATATAACATATCAATTGGATTTATGAATTGGATACTTGAAAAATGTTTGAGATTGAATATATATAGAAAGAGAATTTAAAATCAACGAATTTTTTTAAAATTCTCATGGGTACTTTAAATATATGCATCGCAATATATTTACGCTTTTCAATTGTTTTTATAATTACTCAAAATGTTTACATACCTATCACACGTATTTTCTTTTCATTTCATAATGCATTCATAAAATATTTAAATCAATCTAACTCTTATCTATCTATATGATAAATTCTATAGTATACTATAGAAAACCTTGTTAAAGTGAATTATTACTATTCACTAAAAATACAGAACACAGTCAACCTTTAATTTTTCGATAGTATAGTATAATTTCATATTTTTTTCTCTAGGATCGGAGTACCATGTAACAACGCCTCCCGGCGGCGGGTTCGTACCGACGCAGGCGGGACCGAACCAGGCCGTTCCGCCGCAGACGCAGCAACAGCAGCAGCAGCAGCAGCAAGGGCAGCAGGCCCACCGCGGCATGGTGCCCAACGCGCCGCCTACGCCGCCGCAGCAGCAGCAGTCGCAGCAGCAACCGCAACAGCAGGACTTGAACAAGATGCAGCAGCAGCAGCCGCAAATGACAATCGTAAGATAAATGAAAATTTAGTGTCAGTAATTTCTGTACAATATCAATTAGCAATAACCCTGTTGCATATTCGGAAAAGATATTTTAGGTATAGTACATCAGTCATTTGGTCGTTTTGCCGGTACTGTACTCCGGGAATTATGAAAATTGGTAATCTTAGATTTCGAGGTGCTCTTTACGAAAATCAACTTTGCCACCTCAAATTTGAACGGCAAGTTGCCGCCATATTGGAAAAACGGCGTCAGAAAACAGCTTTTTTAAAATCTCCTTTTTGGCTTATTCTACGATAAAAGTATTATTCTACGAATTAAACTAGATAAAATTTCCTATAATTCTTTAGAAAACCGTTTTTTTTGTAAAATTGGTAGTTTGAGAGCAGGGCCGCCTCAAAGTCTTTGCTGCTCTCGCCGTAGTATCAAATCTGTCCATATATGACAGCACTTTGAACTTGACCACATTCTCTCTAATAAATAAATATTTTCAATGTTAAATTAAGCGAATAAGATCTTGAAATAAAATAATTCAAATATTTTTCTGTTTTTTTGCTGATTTTTTAACACTTCAAGCTACTTACTTATAGCTACTTTGCCATTGAAATGTTAAAAAATCAGCTAAAAAACAGAAAAATATTTGAATTATTTTATTTCAAGATCTTATTCGCTTAATTTAACATTGAAAATATTTATTTATTAGAGAGAATGTAGTCAAGTTCAAAGTGCTGTCATATATGGAGAGATTTGATACTATGGCGAGAGCAGCAAAGACTTTGAGGCGACCGTACTCTCAAACTATCAATTTTACAAAAAAACGGTTTTCTAAAGAATTGTATGAAATTTTATCTAGTTTCATTCGTACATAGATACTTTTATCGTAGAATCAGCCAGAAAGGAGATATTTTAAAAAAGCTGTTGTTTGACGTCATTTTTTCAATATAGCGGCAACTTGCCGTTCAAATTTGAGGTGGCAAAGTTGATTTTCGTAAAAAGCACCTCGAAATCCATAAGATTACCAATTTTCAGAATTCCCGGAGTACTGTACCGGCAACAGCCTTTTTGCACCAAATGACTGGACTAGTAGTCGTATGGCCAATAGTATTGTGACACTTTATTCTTTCAATATTATACAAGAATCAAAATTAGTGGCAGAATTCTGTAAGATATAAGGCTAAATTATACATAAATATAAAACAACAAAAATCAAAGAAAAGAAAAATATATAAATAAAAAAATAACCAGGGAATAAATGATAGTAATTGCTCCAATAAGTAATTGACTATATAATGCATTTTTTTACATTAAGAATGAGACCGAATTTGAAAACAAAAATATGTACGTGTATGTGCGTGTGTGTATGTGAACATATTTTTTTGTTTTCTTTGTAAAACAGCCGTTTCTTTGTAATTTGGAAAAAATAGTTGAACTTTTCGTCCACAAATAAGCTCATACTACAGAATCGATTTAAAAAAAAATCAAAACCTGTTCGGAAGATATTAATTGGGAATGATACTGATTAGTTTTAGGTGAAAATCTACCGAGCCGTTTTCTTGCAATTAACTGTTGAAACTAAAATTTAAGCCGATATTTAAGGAACTTTTTTTGCCGATATATATCATAATCTTATAGAACATACTAAAATATTACGGCATTACGACAAGTAGTTTAATTTTAAAAATTCATCAAAGTTTGAGAAAATGAGTAGTTTTTTTGACGTTTGTTAAAATTAAAATTAGACGATTTACTTGGTATAAACATAGAGTACTTGGTCTTAATGAACATACTAAACCATAAGGTCCCACGAAAACTGGTTCAATTATAAAAATGATTGATTTTTGAAAATTTGCTTTCAGAAAATACTCCGAGTTAACGTGTTCGTTCGTTTTCAATTATGTGTAATAAATCCACTCGGAATACTTTTAATCACTCATAAGTTAATTTATTTTTTATTGACTGAGTGGATTATTTAAACATATCGGGAAGTTCACGTAACTTACACAAGGCAAAATACCAATACCAACTAGTTTAATTAATTACCAAAAAGTTCAAATATTAATTTCTATTTCACGATTTTAGCCTAATTTTGTGCCCAATGCAACAAGTGTGAGGGGAACCACGCCAAATGCATTTCCAGCCTTCAGACCTCAAGGGCAACCTCAGCAGCCGCAGAGACTTGCACATCATAGATCAGTAAGTATTTGATCCTATTTGTAATTTATAGCTTATTTGAAATTTATAGAATATTTAAAGAATATTATATTTACATCACAAAAATAGCGTTAAGAATAACTTCTTTTCTTAGTTTTTTGTCTACACGTAGAAACCTTTTTGATAATTTAATATCCTTACTTCATATATATTTGCTGATCACGTTGCAATTTATCTGTCATGTCCAATTCCTATTATGAACCAAAAATTTGATTATAAAGTGATCAATTTTGAAACTTGAAACTTCTTGTAATACAATCGATGGTCTAGGACAGTGTTTTCCAATCTTTCATGGATCACGCTCCACCTTAACGTTTCTAAAAATGTTATAGCCTCATACAAAATGTTTGACTTTTAAAAAAATCTTCTTAAAGAGTATACCTTAAAAAGATAAAAGATAAGGCTTTTTAAAAATCACTATTAAATGTTATTTAATTAAACATGTTATAAAAATTGAAATTCAAATTAATTTCATTACTGGGTTTTTCTACATTCAATCAAATCCATTCAAACTTTAGAAGAAGCAGGTTTGAAGCAAAGTTTGTTATTTTTCAAACTTTTTGAAGAAGAGCTTTATTTTCGCCAGAAAATATGACCTACTGATTTAATGATTTTTGGACCTCTATTACCATTTCCTACACGTTTTTCTTTTTCAAAAAGTGTCTGCACCAATTTCAGAAGTTTAAAAGGCATTTCATATATTTCGATAAGAACTCACAAAATTAATATATTGACTTCTTATATAATTAACTCTATTATATACAGTTAGTCTATACATTAAATTGTACAAGTATGAGGGTGTCATTGAGTGCATACATTTATTTATGTTATTAATAAACATTAATTATATTTATTTTGATATTAATTGTATTTATTGACACCTACAAGTATTGACTATGATATAAAAGTACCTAAGATTATATACGTTATAAGACTAGTTGTAACGATATGATAGATTCTCTATTACTATATCTAATATAATAATATCTATTACCTATCATACTATACTATATACACGATTGTATATTATAGATAATCTATTTATTATCTATCATACCGTGAAATACCTATACCACCATTAACTTATTATATACCTACACATATGTTTTACTCCTTACAAATCTAAAATCTATTATTTCTATATTTACCTATATTATTATTTCTATTATATTATTTCTATATTTTACCTATATTATTATCTCTACCTATCTATTGTCTATACCGGGAATTGAACCCGGGACTTCCGCGTGGAGGTCGCGCACCTTAACCACTACTCTATCGGGTATCCCCATTAATAATATTATTAGGGACGCACTGTTGTTTCCGCGGTTAATTTTCTAATTAATTAGGTTATTAATACTAAGATGGCGAGCGGACACGCGAAAAAAACACGATTGATCGAAGCGTTACGGTGGTGTAGTGGTTAAGGTCTTCGCCTTCTACGCGGCGGACCCGGGTTCGAATCTCGGTAGGGTTAATGTAGCGTGTAAGGGAAATTGTAGGGATAAGTTAATAATAGATATAGGCGTATAGGTATATAATGTAAGGATTTAGAGTGTAAGATGAAATTTAGCGTATGGTAGATGTGTAAGGCGTGTAATATAGAATGCAAGGTATAGGCATACGTAAGGCTATGAAAATACACGAATACAAACTTATGATATAGGAGTTATCATATAATTAATGCACATTTTATGCAGATTTAATTTATAAATATTTTTTATTCTATTGGAATATTTATTAATGGAATGGAATATAATCCCCGCACTTTTAAACGCTGTCGGAGTGATAACTCCTGCGTGAGTTACCCATCTCTAGTATCAAACAATATTGCCTATAAGTTGTATTTGTTTTTTTCTGTTACTCCAATTTTAGTAATATATACATAATTTATTTCTAGATCAATTGATACGTGATAAAATAATATTAGCATTTATTTTAATTTTTTTCTTCCAGTATCTACCACAGCATGCAGCAATGTATCCGCAGGTTCCTATGATGTTCAGCACTCAAATGATGGCACAAGGACAGTACCCACCACGACAAGCAACACCAACACAGTAAGTTTCATCAAGATCACATTTAAATATTCATTCATCATCTATCAATTTTAATCAAAATTATTTTATTTCAGATATTACTCTAATCTACAAAATTTTCCAATAATCAATACGCAGCATCAAATGCCGGCGTATGCATTTAGTCAACCTTCGCCATCCCAACCTTGTAAGTAATTAATAATCAAATACACTGGAATATTTGATTAAATAGAATGGGTATTAAATAATGTTATATTTTGCAGATTATTTTTCTGTACCTCAAATGGGTATACCACCCAGACCTGTACAAGGTACAAACGTACCCACCGCAGTGCCTGTTCAACAACAACAACAGATGCCAATGCAGGGTAAGAGAAAAAAAGTTGGAGTAATATAATAGATGATTTGATATCACTAAATCTTAATATCTATAAAATTATAGCACATTTAAGGGGGTGAAAAAAATTGATATACAGCAGAGTATCATTATTATTACAGATGATATAACTAAATCTTTATATCTATAAATTTATAGTACATTTAAGGGAGCGTCAATTAACCACGTGATCGATTTTTTAAGAATTTTTGAACCCCTCTTCTCCTTGGTATTATTCAAAATTACCCCCTCCCTTACCCCCTATTTATAGTTACGAGAAAAAATTGTAAAATTTTTGATTTTTTTTTTAAATTGTTTGGATGTTTTTAAAAAAAATCAAAAAATAAATACACGTGATATTTTACTATAAACCGCCCTCGCCTGCGGGAAATATTTAATATTTCGCGATTTTTTCTTGACTAACGAGATATTCTTGTCTAGAGGTATAAATTTTGTGTGAATTTTCAAAGACTGTAAAAGAAGGCATACAATAGTTTTATCATCCATATTTTTTTTTATAAGTTATTATTAATATCTTAAGAATGTAGGAAAAAATAAAAAAAAATCTGACTGTTTTTACAGTCAAAATGTTTTAATGCTACAAGCACGTAAATTTATTTCTGTAATATTTCACTGTGGTAACTTTTCTTTAAAAAAATTTTACTTGACCATACTTCTGATTTTAGCTCTACAAATAATCCAATAGATAAAAGAAAGATTATTAATCTAAAATAATGTCATAATCGTACAAAGTAGGGACAAGTTAAAATATTTTTTTCTCAAAATAGCGACTGTTTAAAAAGAATTCTTCACTTTTTTATGCTCTCTAATTTATATAAAATAGTAAAAATCTGATTTGGGAGATGAGCAGTAGTTTATACTGATGATAAGTCTATAAAGAAGACTATATAAATTTCAATTAAATTAATCCAGTAGAAGTTGAGAAATTGTGGGTATCACATTGAAAAAGATGGTTTTGAGAAAAACGTGTTTAAAGTTTCGCGTAAAACGAATATATTTTGAGAAAGTTCAACTCTTCATTAATATTTTGAGTTTGTGAATTTACACATCGAGTCAATAAGTCCTCTAATAAAATGGTTTATTAACTTCTAAGACTTTTACACCGAAGAGGATTATTGTGGTCAAGCTCTTTTAATGTATCTATATTTCCGAAAATACTTTGCAAATATTCTGAAAAATTATGCTCATATATTCTTGAATGAATAAACTTTGAAAATATAAAAAAATCGATTTTTTTAAACTTTTAGTATAGAATATCCCCTTTAAAATATATTGTTATTTTCTTTAGATTATTTTTTTAAATCTTGATATTATATTACATTTAGTTCAGAAAACTTTTTTAATCATTACCCCAAAATATTTTTGTTTAACATATACATATTGTTACACATATTGTCTCACGACGAAGAGCAAAAAAACAAATTATTATAATTAATTACTGAATTATTTCCATTTAGTGTTCATCACATTGAGTTACAATTCATTGTGATACTATTTTCTTATAATTACAATACTGAAATATCTTTGATATAATTATTTGATGATTTTTTTATTTGAATTTTAATATAAATTTTATACATCTCAGAGAGACAGAAGTACCTGGTATGAGAAATCATATAAAATATCTATACAAAGTATATATATATATATATATATATATATATATATATATTCATTATTATATATGTAAATGTATATTACAACATAAAATAATTTGGTCTAAATGTAAATAATTTCATTGTTTTTCTTTCAGGATCTGTACTGACTCAACACCAGCATCAAACTACTCAATTAAATAAAGCACCAAAAAATCAAAGGAGGAAACATGCCATAAAAATAGTGAATCCTGATTCAGGTTTGTAAAATTATAATCATTACCTCTTTGTTCTAACTAAGATTTTGTAAATGTTATTATTTATAGTTTTGTGTGCCTATAATAAATTTATTTTAAAAGTTATGTTGGTTCAAGCACTTAATTAAAGCAATTATGAAGAAGATATTTATTTATACATTTTGGTCTATATCCACATTCACTGGAAGAAGTAAAAGAAAGTTGTATAATTAATTATAAGAAAATATATATAAAACTACAGGACTTACATAGAAATATTAACACATAATTACACTACACTCTTACACTATGTAAATCCAGATTATCAATAATTCCAACAATTTAAATTAACAATTCTAAACTACATATTTTTGTCCTGAGTTTTTGAAGACCTTGTTAGAAGTGTGAATATTAAGAATGAATATTTTAAATTAAATAATAGAATGATACAATATGTTAAAAAACTGGTCAAAGAAAGAAAAAAATATAATACATTTTATTAACTTAAAATTTTGTTAAATATTTATGTATTTAATTATTCATTGCATAATTTTCTTTTCAGGGAAAGACGTTCTAGAGGAAGTGTTAGATGAAAAGTCTACAGACGAAAGTGAAGATTCTAGCGAAAGACAAACTCCTCAGCCTGTTAGTATTTTACAATAAATAATTCTAAGTAGAATAATATAACAATTTCTGAAAGCGCAATAATCCATACTTGGGATTTTTAAGATATAAATTTATTAAAGGAGTTATTTGATTTAAAATATCATTAAATGAATGAAAATATTATAATAGGGAATAAAAAGTCTTAGAATCTTCTTTGAGAGCGTTTTCAAAAGTGCAATAATACAAACTTGGGATTTTTTAAGATATAAATTTATTAAAGGTGTTATTTGATTTAAAATATCATTACATAATGAAAATGGTATTAATAGGGAATAAGAAGTCTTAGAATCTTCTTTTAGAAACTTTCAGAGCTTTTCTGAAAGTGCAATAATCCAAACTTGGGATTTTTTAGGATATAAATTTATTAAAGGAGTTATTTGATTTAAAATATCATTAAATGAATGAAAATATTATAATAGGGAATAAAAAGTCTTAGAATCTTCTTTTAGAAACTTTTAGAGCATTTCTGAAAGTGCAATAATCCAAACTTGGGATTTTTTAGGATGTAAATTTATTAAAGGAGTTATTTGATTTAAAATATCATTAAATGAATGAAAATATTATAATAGGGAATAAAAAGTCTTAGAATCTTCTTTTAGAAACCTTTAGAGCGTTTCTGGAAGTGCAATAATCCATACTTGGGATTTTTTAAGATATAAATTTATTAAAGGAGTTATTTGATTTAAAATATCATTAAATTAATGAAAATATTATAATAGGGAATAAAAAGTCTTAGAACCTTCTTTTAGAAATTTTCAGAGCGTTTCTGAAAGCACAATAATCCAAACTTGGGATTTTTTAAGATATAAATTTATTAAAGGAGTTATTTGATTTAAAATGTAAATGATGATTACAAAATATAAATGCTGTTAGTAGGGAAAAAGAAGTATATTGTTTCTAATATTTGACTCAAATTTATGTGGTCATTCTTTAATTAATACAGACAGATTATATTATTATTTCATGAGATATTAAATTGCACATTGTTAGATGCAGTTGAAATGCACTTCAAATATTTTATTGCTAAAGATATAAAGATAATGGTATTAATTATTATATCATTTAATATTATATATTATTATCTCATATCAAAAAATTTTATTATTTAGCAAACGTTTGTTAAGAATGTGCTTTAGAATTTAAAATACTTAAATTAAAATTGCTAGACCTTGATAGTAATGTAATATATTGAATTACTTGCATAATTATTTATATATATCTTGTTTGCTAATAAATTCTTATTCTTTTACCATTAGGTGCCTAATCCAGAGGTTGCAGCAGAATTTGCAGCCAGAGTTGCTCTCATGGTGGAAAAAGATGAGAGCAATTCGAGAACTCATGACGAAGCTCACCTGATTGGAGTACCTTCAGGGGGTGACACAATGGACGGTAGTGTTCAAGTATGTCCACCAGACATGACTATGATTAATCAACATAATCATTCTGAGCCAAAAATTATGTCCAATGCCAAAGTTGTTAGTGGAGATATGCAGATATTAACTCAAGGTGTAGGTAAATTAGGTTTCATTGAACAAGGTTTAATCGAGGACGACTATTCCAATGAAAGCAAAATGATTCTAAAAGATGTAAAAAGTGAAATCAGTGTAAGTGATAGCAAGTTGCAGGCGAGTACGAGAGAATTCATTCCTGAAAACCAACAAGCCCAACGTAGCATACCAGTGGTAATTGGTAATAATACTACTCCTGTTGTATCAGCAATGTCTGATGGACCTTCTGTAGAAATAGTGCCAAAACATTCATCGAAATCTATGAAAAACATAGTATTATCGCAAGGTTCTGATTCTAAAGTGCAAAATAGGAAACAACAGAATAAAAGTGCTGATCAGAATCAAAATGCTGAAATTAAAACTGACACTTCTAAGCCACCAACTGGCAAAGAAAACCAACCTAAATCTAAACGTAATAGTGAAAGTGAAGTGAAATTGAGAACAGAAACTAGTGTTGCAAAGAAAGAAAACTCTAACACGAAAGTAGTGTCTGACAAGCCAAATGGACAAGATTTGCCAGTAGCTAACACTGAAGCAATATGTAAGTAATAATATTAATTTTGTAAATATAACATGTCATGCATGAATAATATTACATATTAACAAATTCTAATGTAGAGACATGAACTTTAGGTCATTTTTAAATCTTAAAAAAGGCAATCAATTTTTTTACTATCATTAATCATTGTTACAAGAGTACAGATAGAAGTGGAAAGTAATTTTAAAAATTAGCAGTTGTAGTAAGAGGTTTCAAAAAATTCACACAAGAATTTTTTTTTAATAATGTCACTGTCATTGTCATGGTCATTGCAAGGGTCTTACATAACACATAAACATTCCCCTCCTATAAAGGATTTAAATTTTAGTTTCTGCATCATTACTGCAGAAGTAAGTGAAGTGCACTGTTGCTGCCTTTGTGTATAGGAAACAGTGAATATAGAAATAAAAATTATGTATTACATAACATAGTTAAATTAAAATGTTGAGTTAAAATGTTTTGAAAAAGTATTTTTCAAGAATTATTTCTATATTTGCTGAAATTAGGGTACAGTCCTTTGCTTTGCAGACTTTTCAAAGATTCAAATATGGCGCGTCGGAAGTGTAAGTACATTGAGTGATGGAATTTTTATAAGCGTATGCAGAATATGATTATTTTATTAGGTTTTTACTAAAATTTAATCATATTTATCCGTTTTCTTGCAATTTGCGTGTTTAAAATCGAAATGGATGATTTCAAAAATTTTTGTTAGGTTATGAGAATAATTTCTGCCACAAGCCACAAGATCGTCATAGACGGTATTCAAAGATGGCCGCTGTCGGCGACTCTAGTGCACATGGCCGGTTGCCAATTATTTTAACCTAAAATGTTCATTAGTTTTAAATAATTTTATAAACTTCTAAGTGTTGAATTGTGGTTTTTAGTTAACATATTAAGTGATTTTAACAAGTGTTTTATGTAATTTTAATACTCGTTACGTTTAAATTGTTATAAATGACCTTGTGTGTGGAATTTTAAATAGTACGTATTCAGAGCTCTTTCACTCGATGATTTCACGAACGATTCATATGGCATTTGATAATTTTAACGTGATCACGTATTGATTTTAGTTGTTATAAATGTTTTTTAATATAAATTTGATGTGGTGATAGTTTTTTTGCCGGGTGTATAATAATGCACGTGGGTGGTTCATGCCCTCATGGCTATATATAGTCTCTCAGATCTTGTGTACGATTCTTTATTTGGACCCGTGACTGTGATAAAAACAGCTGGGTTTAATCTCTTTAATATTTAAGTTGTGATCGATATATAAAATCATAGAAAAATTACTAGTACTACCACGGAAAATATTAATTTAAATTTATTTTACTTAAAGTGCAATGATTTGCAAAATGATTTATCACTACCATATTGTTCGTGATAAGTGTATGTGCTCAATTTAGGTTTAAAGTGTTAAATAAGAAAAAAGTGGACTAAATTAATGTGGTGCAATAGTTTAAATATTTGTCTAGGGATTTTTTTTACCTATTACCATATTCGAAGCAATTTAGAAAGTATCACATTTAAGACACGTGTCAACGCCCGCATATGTTGACAATATGTCAAAGACATAAATTCACATTTTTTGTATTGATTTGTGATCAAAATTTTCTCTTAACCCTTCTACCAGTGTGGGGTCTAAATCTAGTCAATTTTTCTAGTGAAAAAAATCATATACACGCTTGTAATTTAATTACATACACCAATATTTCTTTACAATTTTTTTATGTACAAAAATTCTTAGTGCTTAAATTTCTATTATCCGACTGGTGGGTTACATAATTTCATTTCGATAAAATATCTCGCCGAACGGGTTCACATTCACAATTTATCTGTGATGTCGAAATGACCTTCATAATTTTGGAATCAGTAAAAATTTTTATTAATCCGGTATTAATTATGCTTTTGCCAAAAAATCCGATTTATTGATTGTATGTTGTCTCGACGTTTCAAGCCATTCTGAATCGAATTAGACCGAGTTTGGATGAAAATGTGTGTTACAGATTTTTGACCTTTCGTCGATGTTTTCTCAAAAACAAACAAAAAAAATCATCAATGTTTGGAAAAGTGTTTATTGAAATTGGTTAAAATTAGATTTTTTTTTCAAAATCGACTGAACTGATTTCAAAAATTTCAAAAGCATTCGATAAATCTTGATAAACTCTCATTTTGATTAATTTTACGAGAGGATCGGCCAAGCCATTTAGCAGTTTGTTTCTATATTTATAATTAGCAGCAAAGTGCAATTTTTTTCTCTCTTATTTAATTTACTAATTTTATATTTTCTGCCATTCTGAATCGAATGAGACCAAATTTGGAAAAAGTATGTGTGTATGGGTGTGTCCGAAAAATCTTGTTTGAGAAATCTGTTTTTCGACGATTTTTATGAAACCTTTTTTAACGATAGATTTTATGGTCTTATAGGACATACTAAATTAAAAAATTCATCAAATTTTGAAAAAAAACAAGCAACGTTTTTTGAAGTTTGTTAAAATTAGACCTTTTAACTCTTTTTCAAAAACGTCTGAGTCGATTTCAAAAATTTAAAAAATATTTGATGAAACTTGATAAGCACTCGCATTAGTTTGATTTTTTATACGATCAGCCGAGCCGTTTCTTTGTAATTATCAGAAAAGTGCAATTTTTTTGTCAACGTTTTCTCCAAAAATACTGAGCTGTTTTTGAGAATTCTAAAACTATTTTAAAACAGTATTATTTGGGAATCGTGCTGATTAGTTTTGGATAAATATCGGTCAGACCGTTTCTTCGTAATTGACTGTTAAAAAATTTATCCACGATTTTAATGAATTTTTGTATGGCGTTGGAGTACTTGGACTTAATGGACACAGTAAAATATTATAGTCCTACGAAAAGTGATTGAATTATAAAACATATTTAAAATTAGAATTATTTAGAAAATATTCTATGTATGTATTTGGCACGTGTTCGTTTTTCGATAATGTCTAATAAAAAAAAATATTCAAAATTTAATAATCTACAATATTTGCTCACATTAGGGGACGTCCATTAATCACGTGATCGATTTTTTAAGGATTTTTGGACCCCTATCACCCAACATTGCGTGTATTTTTTTAATTTTTTTTGATAATGTTTAGATTTTTGTTAAACAGAATCAGATAAAAAATAAATCCCTTACTCCTTAAAACCTCACGTGATTAATGGGCGCCTCCTTATGAGCTTCACAGCTATTGTTTTATTATTTTTAACATTATTCTTTTCTTATATATTTATTATTATTTGTCATTTATTGTTCTCACCGTACTTTATAGTGTTTCTAATATTATTTATATTATTCACAAATTTTATTTATTAATTTTATCATTATCTGCTTTTTATTTTATATTCAATTATCATCATATGGATATCATCTTAATGGAAATACTGTCCTTTCTTTTGCTTTAAATTTTATTTCTATTTGTTTTTTATTTAATGTTAGGGGACGTCCATTGATCACTTGAAGTTTTTAGGAGGAGGGCGGCTTGACAAAAATGTTAAAAAATATATCATTTTACCTGAAATTTATAAAAAAGCAAATCATTTTGAAAAAAAAACAAAAATTTTACAATTTGTTCTTGTAACTAAAGATTTACATGTTAGGAGAGAGAGGAGGGTAATTTTGAAAATAACCAGGTATCACCAAGGGAGAGGGGGGTGTCCAAAAATCCTTACAAAATCGATCACGTAATTAATGGACGCCCCCTTACTAGATATTATTTAGTAGTTGTAACCGATATTGAAATTAAAAAAGAAATTACCCCTACAGCAACTCGGCATACTTATGAATCACCATTATTTCCCAACTATCTATTATCAAAATGCCACTTACAACTAGTCAATTTTCACCTTATACATTTATACTTTAATATTTAAATTCGCTCATAATATATTCTTGAATTTCGTTGTAATCTGCGGCTGGCTACGTCAAGAGTTGTTTTTGACCTCGGGAATAAAGTTAACAATGGTTTCGCGTTTTAATTTATTGTAGCGAACTCGAAAAGTTGGAAGGAAATTATATGTACTCATCTTATAATGGTTTATTTTAGTTTGATAGTAATAAATGTATTAATAGGAAAATTAAATGGTATTTGAAGTAATTGATATTTGTATGTGGGTATGTAAGTGCGCGTCAGACTGCTGCTCTATGGTCATTGTCATTTGATATTAATACGTACGACGTCACGATGAGGATGCGACGCATTCCCGACGTTATCTTGACGTTGTAAGTAATTTATATCGCTTGTATAGATTAATTCTTAAATACATCTTAAGGGGGTATTCGAGTGTGGAAATTCCAAAATTGTTTTTTTTTTTTTTTAAAGCTTAACTATTCAAGAATATGTACGTATACGAGAGATTTTATATATATTTTTTAAATTGTTTTTGTTTATTTATTAATATAACATAATATTTTCATATCTCAGTCAGGCAGGAGTACTTGGTATAAGAGATTATGAAACAATTTTTTATATATACATATCTATTTTCTTCTATATTTGCATTCAGTCAGCTATTTATCTCTTCAATCTTCATCTTTATTTTTTTCATCTTATCTTATTTATCTTTATCTTATTCTTTATTTTTCTCTTGAAATTGTTATCACTGGTCATCTTGATATCGCTCGTAAGTTATAATATTAATACTATTTAAGTTGAAATATTTTCAGAGATACAACTGTTTGTTCATGATAATTATCTTTCCTTTTCTATGTTTTGTAAAACTTTGGACGCGTTTTTTTCCAAATTATTTTTTTCAATACGATGTCCACGATTTCTCGAGTTGTACTGAACCGATTTACTTGAAATTTTCAGAGAATCTTTTTCATAGACTTCTTTCTGGCATTTACTAGCTTCATCCCCAAATATCAATATTTACTATTTTTAAAAAATTTGAGAAACTCAAAGTGATAACAAATTGATCCTTATTTTTCATTTTTCACCCATTTTGTCAAATCCTTATTTTTTAACTTAATCCTAATATATACC